TCCTCATTGATGTTTCTCTCTCTCTCTTCTCCCTTCTTCTCTGAATGAAAAAATATGTAATAAAACAACAACACTTTCTCCCCTGACGTGGACCCGCCTCCCCAGGCACACGGTTGGGCACGGGCCGGTCAAGGCATGATTCTCCGGGTTCGGAGAAGCAAGGCTGCTTTTGTTCCGGGTCAGCCGGGTGGTGGCGGTGTCGGCACTGCCCTCCTCGGCACTCTGGCCGCCTGTGGACAGAGAGGGGAGGAGGAGATGGCCACTCAGCTGTGCCCGTGGGTGCCCGGCTGGGAGGGGCCCGGCCAGGAGCCGGCCGATCGGGCTCCCCGGTGCTGGACGGGGAGGGGGAACTCTCGAATGGACACGAGAAGTGTTTCTATTTACACATGAGCCCCACGGAGAAACCGAATGGATCTAGTAGAAATAAATAACCGATACCAGGTGCTTGAGAAGAAGACGTTTGATACAAATTAAAGAAACGGACTTAGAGACACGCATGACGTCCAGGCACCAGCCCAGCCCCCTCTTCCCTGTGATGCGGAAGCCGAGAGGGGTTTGTATGTGACAGTGTCGGACGGGCATGTAACACACACCCTGCGTGTTCCCATGTCGCTCACAGGGGCCCGTGCATGTGTGACACGGTCCCGCCCGTGCCCTGGAACGGGCCTGTTGATAGCACAACAATAAGTCACTTTTCCACTCCTGGTTAACGGAATGTTTTTGAATTTTCTTGATTTAACGATGAAGTCGCAGGCGTCAGTCCCGGGTAAAGAATCGCGGCTCACAAGATACCCCGGGGACCGAAAGCCACACGGGGACGGGATGTTTCAAAACGATCGGGACGCCGAGCCTTCCTCCGCTCACTCACCACTCAGCCGCCCCTCTACTGACCAGCCCGTGTGGGGGCCTCGACCCCGCGGGACGGCTCCTCCTAAAAGGCTCCTTACGGAGAGGACTGGAGGCGGGGGGCACGGCAGAGAAAGAATAAAAAACGATCGTTTGATCGCGTTAATTTGCCGCCACGGACTCAAATGAACAATTTAAAAAATTTCACACATTCAGGAAAAACATTCAATTATTCAGTTGAGCAGTTTGGGCAAAAGTAATTGTCTCCGTTCTGTGCGTGTGAACACAGAGCGAGCATACATCATCGAAGCCAGAATCATCCGTCACCGCTGGGCCACTGCCATTTGCTCCGCGTACGCCAGGCAGCCATTAAATGCCACAGAGATTCAACTTAATTCAGCAGCAGAATTCTACTGGGGCTTGTGCGTCTTCAGGGAGCAGATGGATCCACAGAGACAGGGACCCCTAAACATCACATCAGGTTAATTTAACTATGAGCGATCAAGTGATTTTGAAGTAAAAAATTAAATGATTACTTAAGAACTTAAAGTAGCTGAAGACCTGACTACTCTATTTTTTTTAACATTTATATATATATATATTATTGATTTCAGAGAAGGAAGAGAGAGAGAGAAACATCAATGCTGAGAGAGAATCATTGAAGGTCTGCCTCCTGCAAGTCCTACACTGGGGATCGAGCCCGCAACCCAGGCCTGTGCCCTGACCGGGCATGGAACCCTGACCTCCTGGGTCATAGGTTGACGCCCAACCACTGAGCACACCAGCTGGGTTTTTGTTGTTGTTGTTAATCCCACTGGAGGATATATTTTCCATTGATTTTTAGAAAGAGGAGAAGGGAGTGGGGAGAGGGGGAGAGGGAGAAACACTGATGTGGGAAAGGGACATCGATTGGCTGCCTCCCACAAGCATGGGTTCGAACCTGCAACCCAGGTATGTGCCCTTGATGGGGAATTGAACCCGCAACTCTTAGGTCCGCTCTAACCACTGAGAAAACTGGCCAGGGCTGCCTCGTCTACTTTTATTTTTATTTGAGTCCTGGCGTAGATGAGCGTCCTTCTGGCTTTAACGCCTGTCGCTGACTTCCTCGCCGTGTGTGCACGATGCCGTGTGCACGATGCTGTGTGCATGATGCCGTGTGTACAATGCCGTGTGCATGATGCCGTGTGCACGAAGCTGTGTGCACGATGCCGTGTGCACGATGCTGTGTGCACGATGCCACGCACACCCCTGCTGGCTCCCCAGTGGCAGCCGCCCTGCAGGGAGAGGGGAGAATGCACCGCGCTTGCCAATCCCACGGCCGGTCAGTCTGGAGACCAGGTCAGTTGCTGAGAGTCGCCTGAAGCGAGGGTGGGGGCGCAGCTCGCTCAGGGCCTCCTCTGAGCCTGTCCCCACAGGAAAGGTCAGCTCCCTGCTCACCACGAAGGAGCCGGAGCCATGAGGGTCCCCCCCAGGGCGGTTTCCGGGACGCTGTGAAGAGGTGCTGAGGGACACGGTGCTCAGGCGGCTAGGCCTTCCCTGTCGGCAGACGGAGGCCTGGACCAGGCACGGTGCCCCTCCCGGCGTCGGTGGGGGTGAGGGGAGCCACGGGACCTCTCTGAGGAGGCTCTCCAAGCCCGAGTCCAGGGCACTGCCAGGCGGCAAGTCAGAGGCCGCAGCTGTGACACTGTCGGGGGGATGCTGTCGGGGGACACTGTTGGGGGGATTCTGTCAGGAGACACTGTTGGGGGATGCTGTTGGGGGGACGCTGTTGGGGGGACGCTGTCGGGAGGATGCTCTCGGACGCTGTCGGGGGGACGCTGTCAGGGGGACGCTGTCAGGGGACATTGTTGGGGGACAATGTCAGGGCGGATGCTGCGCCCAAACTTGCAGATTTATCTCCATCGCATGCACAAGGCCGCATCCTACGCTGCCCTCCAACACCCCTACCAGCCACACGGCTAAGCCAGTCACAGCCCAGCTGCTGTGCTGACAGCCCGCAGCCCCATCTCCCAGGCGCTCCAGAGGGACTCAAGATGCAAAGCAGATGGCAGTGCGCCTCCACCCGTCCGTCCCACCGAGACCCGGATGGCTAGGCCTTCCCTGTCGGCAGACGGAGGCCTGGACCAGGCACGGCGCCCCTCCCGGCGTTGGTGGGGGTGAGGGGAGCCACGAGACCCCTCTTAGGAGGCTCTCCAAGCCCGAGTCCAGGGCACTGCCAGGCGGCAAGTCAGAGGCCGCAGCTGTGACACTGTCGGGGGGATGCTGTCGGGGGACACTGTTGGGGGGATTCTGTCAGGAGACACTGTTGGGGGATGCTGTTGGGGGGACGCTGTTGGGGGGACGCTGTCGGGAGGATGCTCTCGGGAGGACGCTGCGCCCAAACTCGCAGATTTATCTCCATCATGTGCACAAGGCCGCATCCTACGCTGCCCTCCAACACCCCTACCAGCCAGACGGCTAAGCCAGTCACAGCCCGCAGCCTCTCCCAGGCCTGACAGCCCGCAGCCCCATCTCCCAGGCGCTCCAGAGGGACTCAAGATGCAAAGCAGATGGCAGTGCGCCTCCACCCGTCCGTCCCACCGAGACCCGGAGCCAATGACCTTGACCCTCAGGACGTGCCTTTAGGTCTGCGAGGGGCTGGACTGGCACGTCTATGGCAGGAGAATGTGGGGACACACGTTGAGACCAGCTAACTGTCCGGATGCAACAGAGGCTGCCGGCCCGTATTCTCCGTGACAGAGCCATCTCGGTGAATACAGCTACGTTAACCACACGCCTAATTATCGCCGGCACCGGGAACGCGGCGAGCGTCTGGACTCAGTCCTGGCAGTCATTTGCAAGCCAAAAAGGAAACCCGAAAATTAGCCTCGGACCGTAGGAGGCACAAATCCGCCATCAGGATGAAATGCATTTGAACGCAGCGGAGCTCTGTGTGAACGTAACAGCACGCTCAGGCCCACTGCACGCTCTTAATTAGGACTTGAAAGATGACAGCGTGAGAGGAATGACGGCGATCAGGCCTGCGCCTGCCGGCGAGCGAGCGTCTGCGGGCTGGAGGAGGGCACAGGCTCAGCCTAGGACAGTCCCGTCCTGACACTGTGATTAGTGTCGGCTCCACACGCACCTGTGAACGGACAGGACGCAGAGCCCCGCCCACAGGCCGGCCGCCGTTTCCCTAAAGCCACCTGCACCACGTGGGCCGCCCGGTGGGTGAGCACGGGCCGGGTTTCAAGTGTGTTAATGAGCGACTGGCTGTTCGCGTCTCGCCGACGGAACAAAGTGACCGCAGCTGTTCACGGCGCGAGACACTTCCTGTCTTCCCTGCGAACATTAAAGAGATCACATGGCAGGAGGAGGAGGAGGATTTTCTGGAGAAAACCTGAGAATGCAGCCGCTTTGAATGCCGTGAGGAGCCGCGAGGCTGCCTCAGTGCAGGACGTTCGCAGGGCCAGGCGTGAGCCGGGGATAGCGCGGAGGCTCGCCAGCCGCCACGCCGGGCTGGAGGGCACGAGGACGAGGTACCCAGAGGGGACAGGATGCGGGGTGTGGCTCCCCCACCCCCCGTCCCCCCAGCAGTAACTGTCCAGTGGGACACACGTGGACTGTCCAGTCTCCGGGAACGCGATGCTTTAACCCTTTGCGGTCGTATGTCTGCTCTCAGCCACCACAGCAAGGAACCGTACGAATCTTAACTCTATTCATTCATGTATCAGTTCATAATTTCTCTGAAAGCTCTTAAGTGTCTGAGCGACCTTGTCACGAACCAAAACATTGCCCCGACAAATCGGAGTTACCGAAACTCAATATAAACAAACGCGGTCGTTCCACACTCGCCATGCAAAACACCGTGGCGAGTCAGTCGCCTTTTGAGAGTGAAGAAATCGACAAGCTTCGGAGATACTTCGCAGAATTTCAAACAAAGCTTTACAAATTACGTTTAACTGTAATTAGGCATTCTCGCTTGTTAAGATATTTCAAAATAATACTCCAAAATGGCAAAAAGAAAGTTACCGAAAGAAGTGTACTGCGAATCTGAAAGTAACGATGAAGAGTTTTATTTTGGCACCTTGAATACTGACTCTGACGTAGAAAGTGATAACGTTTGTAGTGATTCTACTAGTAGTGACGTAGTTCCAAAAAAGAATTAATAAATCTTGTTTATCCTTCATAATCTTGCATGTTATGTATCACTGCTCTTTCAATGGAAATTAATTCCGACCAGCACGACACCCATGTCCAAATTTAATACGACCGCAAAGGGTTAAACTTAGCTGAGCCAGGCTGCGTGGCTCAGTGGCCGAGCGCCGACCTATGAGCCAGGAGGTCACAGTTCCACTCCCGGTCAGGGCAGTAGGGGGCCTGCAGGAGGCAGCCGATCTATGAT